CAATCCCGGGAGAAGGACATCATGCTTGGTAAATGGTGGGTCAGCAAAAAAGAGGAAGAGCCCCAACAAGATGGGCTGGCATAGTGGCAGTAGCAACAGGCTCAAGCTTAGTAATGATTGTGAGGATGGCATAGGACTAGGCAGTGTTTGGTTCTGTTGTGCATAGGGTTGCTATGAGTCTGAATGGACTACAAGCAACAGCAGCAACATGAGGGAGGTGTAGATATACATTTTGGAGACCTCAGTAACCACCTGAGCAGGTATGCGGTAGAATTTGCAGAAAGAAGTGGCCTCAGGGTAGTGGTTGTGCTCTGATTACCATCTTCTATCCCACAGTGCTGTGTTTGAGCACCGAGTAAAGAAAAAGAAGGCAATGGCAGCTACTGACTCATAGAGAGGCTTTGTGCTAATTAGATTTCAAAACAAAACCAAACAAAAAACACATACCTTTTGTAGGAGAATGAACTGTTAAAGTATGCCCTCTCTTTGTGGACCATTGGGGAAAAGGTGGCCCTCTGGGCACCAATTTTTTCAAACAGCAGAATTTTTCAAGGCACAGGGTTTGGTCAGTGAACTCCAGACAAGGTTTCACAAAGGAGGCCTTGAGATGCTCTGGGTAGGCTCTGGGTTTTCTTTATCAAAATGTTTAGTCAAGGTTACTTCCAGCTGGGACAAATAAATTGTATGAGACCACTATTGTAAAAACTCAAGAAAAGATTTTCAGGCTAAAAGAAACATTCTTAGTTACCAGGGGTGGATGGGAAGGGAGAGTAATTCGATGGCTAAAAGATGGTGGTGGTGGTGGTGTACCATCAAATCAGTCCTGACTCATAGCAACCCTGTATAGAGTTTCTAAGGCAATAAATCTTTACAGAAACAGAAAGACTCATCATTCTCCCAAGGAACAGCTGGTAGATTCAAACTGCTGACCTTGCAGTTAGAAGTCCAACATGTAACACTACGGTACCAGGGCTCCTGACTCGGTAATGGGGAAGGCAATATACAACCAGAGGAGTTTGGAAGAAAAATGATGAAGACACAGGAAGGAACACAAGGGTTAAAGGTGACAGAGGTAAATAATTCTATATACACAACCCTCCAACAGCAAAGTTCTATAGGACACAGACAGATACACAGGCTGAACAGGTATGGGAGTACACCCACAAATATATAATGGTTTGTACATGGGTATTTATCTTTGCTACAAACACAACTATGAATGTGGTGGAGCATTGTTGTTGTTGTTATTGTTGGGTGCGATTGAGACGGTACTTACTCAGAGCGACCCTAAGCACAACCGAACGTAACACTGTCCAGTCCTGCATGCCAACCTCACAATCGTTGCTATGTTTGAGCCCACTGATGCTGCCACTGGGCCATCCATCTTTCTGGGGTTCTTCCTCTTTTTCTCTGACCCCCACTTTACCAAACATGGTTATCTGCCTCCAGTGACTGGTCTCTTCTCACAGTATGTCCAAAGTATGAGAGATGAAGTCCGGTCATCCTGGCTTCCAAGGAGCACTCTGGCTGCACTTCTTCCAACACAGATCTATTTGTTCTTTTGGCAGTACATAGTACTTTCAATATTCTCCTCCAACACCATAAGTCAAATGCATCAATTCTTCTATTGTCTTCCTTATTCAATGTCCAATTTTTGCATGCATATGAGGTTATTGAAAATACCATGGCTTGGGTCAGGCGCACCCTTGTCCTCAAACTGACATATTTGCTCTTCAACACTTTTAAGAGGCCTTGTGCAGAAAATTTGCCCAATGCAATATGTCGTTTGATTTCTTGACTGCTGCTTCCATGAGTGTTGATTGTTTGTCCATTTATATGGATGCTTTCCATTGATCCAGTGATGAAGATTTTTACTTTCTTCATATTGAAATGCAACCCATACGGAAAGGTGTGGTCTTTGATCTTCATTAGTAAGTGGTTAGAAGTGCTCTTGGCTTTCAACAAGCAAGGTTGTATCATCTGCATATCACAATTTGTTAATGAGTCTCCCTCCAATCCTGATTGTTGTTGTTGTTGTTGTTAAGTGCCGTCGAGTCAGTTCCGACCCATAGCGACCCTGTACAGGGTTTTCGAGGGTGTAAATCTTTACGGGAGTAGAAAGCCTCATCTTTCTCCCGCGGAACAGCTGGTAGTTTCGAACCGCTAACCTTAAGGTTCGCAGCCCGATTCGTAACCACTACGCTACCAGAGCTCCTTATACAGGGAGCAAAATGATGAAAACTTCTTAGACATTACCAAACACCTTGAGGCAACAAGTTGCTGGGTCTTGGGGTCTCAGGACCATAGTCTCAGGAGACACCATGGCCAGTTAGCATAACAGAGGCCACAATGAAAATGTTCTACATTTTGCTTTGGTGAGTATTGACTGGGATTTTGAAAGTTCATAAGTGGCCATCTAGGGGCAACTATTAGTTTTTCCATGACTAAGACCAGAAAAACTACTAGATGGTGTCTAGCTAGATGACATGACCAACTGTTCTACAAGGGATCTTTGTTGTTGCTTTTGTTAAGTGCCATTGAGTCAGTTCAGGAGGTGCCAAATAGAGTAGAAGAAAATATAGAACAAAAATCAAAATTATAAAAAAGAATAGGTTTACTGGTCAAAAAGAGACTGAAGGAACTCGACACCATGGCCCTCAGCCACCCTTCAGGTCTGAAATGGCATTCACTCTCAAGGCCCAATTTTCAGTCAAGTGATGCATAGAGGGAACAACAACACTAGTAAGGTATTGTTGTTGTTGTTAAGTGCCATCGAGTTGGTTCCAACCCATAGCAACCCTGTATAGGGTTTCCGAGGAGCAGCTGGTGAGCTTGAACCACCAACCTTGCAGTTCAAATGGCTTTGCAGTCC